CTTGTGTTACTGAATAGCCTATTCTTGTGTTACTGAATAGCCTATGAGCACGGGAGGGGCAGAGAGAGAGGGAGAAATGGAATCTGAAGCAGGCTCCAGGCTCTGAGCTGTCAGCACAGAGCCCAATGTGGGGCTCGAACTCATGAACCGTGAGATCATGACCTGATTCGAAGTTGGACACTTAACCAATTGAGCCACCCAGGTGTCCCTTGCTACTTGTTTTTATATTTAAATGTAGGGGGAATCAAATACCTGTTGTAAGAATTTAATGAATGGTTTAAAAATTAATTTCTCTAAGAAAAATCCCATTTTGAGCTGCTTTTTACACGAGGGTCAAATTGCCCTCTTTCTTACTGCCTGTGATGTCCCCAAAGGCACTCTAGCTGTTCGTACGGCTCACATTCATTTGTTCATTCATTCATTCATTCAGTATGTATTAGATGTCAGCTGTGTGCCACACACTAGGGATCGTGCTAAGAAGACAGAGAAAAACCCCTGCCTTCAAAGAGTTTATGTTCCAACTCAAATTGGTCTTATGTCACATCTTAAGGCCTGGGGCAATGCCCAGGTGGCTTCACTGGTGAATTCTATCAAATATTTAAAGAAGTGGTAATACCAATTATTCACAAACTCAGAAAATAGATGAGAGAGAGAACACTTCCAAAAGCATTCAATGAGGCTAATAGTACCCTAAGACCAAAGCCAGAGTATCACAAAGGTGTCCCAAGAAAACTACAGACCAATATTGCTAACGAACATAGATGCAAAAATCCTTAACAAAAACCGGGGTGCCTGGGTGACTCAGTTGGTTAAGCATCCGACTCTTGATTTAGGCTCAGGTCATAATCTTGAGCAATCGAGCCCCATGTTGGGCTCTGCATTGTCAACGGGGAGCCTGCTTGGGATTCTCTCTATCTGCCCTTCCCCTGCTCATGCTCGCTCTCTCTCTCTCTTTCTCTCTCTCTCGCGCGCGCAAAATAAATAAAAATCAACATTTAAAAAAGATGCTAACAAACCAAATCCAATAACACTGAGAAAGGATTATACACACCATGACCAAGTGGAATTTATTGCAGGAACATGAGGTTGGTCTAACATCTAAAACTCAAGTAATGCAAGACACTGTATTAATAGAATAAAGGACAAACCACGTGGTCATCTCAGTAGCTGCAGAAAAAGCATTTGACATAATCCAATACCCATTCATGGTAAAAACTCTCCATAAACAGGGAATAGAAGGGAACTTCCTCAACCCGATAAAGGGCAGCAACCAAAATCTCATAATGAGCGTCATACTTAACGGAAGGCTGAATGTTTTTTTCCTAAGATCAGGAACAAGCCAAGTAGGCTTCAAGCCCAGTGTGGAGCCCAACGCAGGCCTGGCACTCACAACCCTGAGATCAAGGCCTGAGTTGAGATCAAGAGTCAGATGCTTAACTGACTGAGGTACCCAGGTGCCCCTACTTTTGCCACTTCTAACAAACATTGCACTGAAGATTCCGGGTAAGGCAATGAACCAATGGATTCTGACTAGAAATGAGGTAAAACTGTCTTTGCCTGCAAATGACATGTGTGTGTATGTGTGTGTATATGTGTGTATATGTGTGTGTAGAAAATCCCAAGGAATCCATAAAACCTGCTATATCTAATAGCAGGTTACACAAAAATCAATTGTATATTTGTATACTATCAATGAAGGATGCAAACATGTAACTGAAAGGTACAAAAACATTAAGAGAAATTAAAGAAGATCAAAATAAATGGAAAGACATTTCATATTCATGTACTGGAAGGCTCAATATCGATAAGATGGTAATTGGCTCCAAGTTAATATGTAAATTCAACATGCTCTTGTAAAAATTCTGCAGGCTGTTTTGCAGAAATTGACAAGCTGATCCTAAAATTTATATGGAAATGCAAAAGATCTAGAATAGCCCAAATAATTTGGAAGAGAAAAAAATTTGGGAAATGTACATCACCCAATTTCAAAATGTAGTATAAAGTTATATTAATCAAGACAATGTGGTATTGGCCTAAGAATAAGCAAACAGATCAGTAGAACTCTCAATTAAGGACCCAGAGGTAAATCCTTAAATTTATGGTCAATTTATTTTCAAGAAAGCTGCCGGGACAATTCAATGGAGAAAGGATAGTGTTTTCAACAAATGGTGCTGGGACAATTGTGTATCCACATGTAAAAAAAAAAAAAAAAAAAAAAAAAAAAAAAAAAAAAAAAAAAAAAAAAAGTACTTAGATTCTTACCTCACACCATACACAAATAGTAATTCAAAATAGGTTATAGACCTAAATAGAAGAGCTATATCTATAAAACCTCTATAAGTAAAGATAGATTAGGGGCACCTGGGTGGCTCAGTTAAGTGTCCGACTTTGGCTCAGGTTATGATCTCCTGGTTCATGAGTTTGAGCCTGTGTCAGGCTCTCTGCTTTCAGTGTGGAGCCTGCTTCAGATCCTCTATTCCCCTCTCTCTTTGCCCCTCCTCAGCTCGTGCTCTGTCTCTCGAAAATGGATACACATTAAAACAGCAACATATGATTGCAAGTGACTGAGCTATTACTGTAGTACCTTTAGTAAATGTTTCTTACCATAGATTAAATCTTTGTGACTTTGGGCTGAACAAAAAAGTCTTAGCTACAACATCAAAAGCCTGATCCATAAAAGAAAAAATTGATAAATTGAAGTTCATCAAAGTTAAACACTTCTGCTACACAAAGGACACCGTTAAGAAAACGAAAAAGAAATTTACAGACTGGGAGAAAATATTTACAAGACATATGTCTAATAAAGGATTTATATCTAGAATACACAAAGAACTCTAACGACTCAATAAGAAGACAAAACACAATTTAAAAATGGGCAAAAGACTTGAATAGACATTTCACCAAAGAAGATACATAAATAACTAATAAGCCCATGAGAAACTCTCTCAAGATCATTAGCTATTCAGGAAACCCAAATGAAAACCACCATACATCCACTAGAATGGCCTTACTAAAAAACTTAGATAACACCAATGTCGGTGAAGATGCGGAGAAATTGAGACTTTCATGCATCGCTGATGGGAATGTAAAATGGTGCAGCCATTTTGAAAAACAGTTTGTCAGTTTTTTAAAAAGTTAAATAGAGGGGCGCCTGGGTGGCGCAGTCGGTTAAGCGTCCGACTTCAGCCAGGTCACGATCTCGTGGTCTGTGAGTTCGAGCCCCGCGTCAGGCTTTGGGCTGATGGCTCAGAGCCTGGAGCCTGTTTCCGATTCTGTGTCTCTCTCTCTCTCTGCCCCTCCCCTGTTCATGCTCTGTCTCTCTCTGTCCCAAAAATAAATAAACGTTGAAAAAAAAAATGAAAAAAAAAAAAGTTAAATAGAAACTTACTTTTAAGTCACATAAATATATGACCCAGCTATTGTATTCCTCGGAATGTATCCCAGACACATCAAACACACGTCTACGCAAACGCTTTGACACAAATGTTCATATCGGCATCATTCATAATAGTCAAAATCTGGACAAAATCCTCATGTCTACCCACTGATGAATGGACATACAATCTATCTGTACCATGGGATGCAATTCAGCAGTGAAAATACTGATAGTCTGACTCTGCCAGAGTTGGCCTCATGCTACAACGCAGATGGGCCTGAAAAACATCACGCTAAGTGAAAGAAGCCAGACACAAAAGACTCTAGAGTGTAGGGTTCCATATATATGAAATGTCCAAGAACTATGAATTTATAGAGACTGAATACCGGTCAATGGCTGCCTAGGGCAGGAAATGGGAACACGTGAATGACTGCAAATGGGAGCAAGGAAATTTTTAGGGTGATGAAGTATTCTAAAACTGGATTGCAGTGTAGGGGGCACAACTCTATACAGTTGCTGAGAGGTGTCGGATTATACCCTTAAAATGCTGGGTTTCATGACTGTAGACTCTACCTCAATAAAGCTGATTAGCAAAGGCCTAAGGCAGGGATCACCCTCACATACCAGCTCACCTAAACTCCACAGGCCAGCTCTGGTGCCCACTTACGTTCGAGTCTCCCGAGGGGCTGCAGCTGTTCTTGGGTACCAGACAGTGAGTGACAAGAATCCTAGGGTCTTTGGTGGTGATGGACAGGCCCTTCTGCAGAATCTGAACCAGTCGGATCCAGAAGCGGAAGACAGTCTCTGGATGGTCAGGGTGGAGCCTTAGGTAGTAGATCTTCTCAGTGACTGTCCTCAACCGCAGGATGCGTTGAAGCCGGTCACAGACCTGGAGCTCCACAAACTTCAGGGGGAGTATCCTGAAGCCACAAGGGAAGACACACATGGGCGACCCCTATTGCTTCTGATCCAACCCTCTCTTCGTTAAAATGAGGAGCGTCTCCCACAGGACTGAGGCTTTGGGGGGTAGGAGAGAGAGGGCTTGGCACAGTGGTGCTCCCACTTTGGAGAGATCAGCTGCACTTTGGAGAGATCAAGCTGGGGAGCTTGATTAAAATGAAGACGCCTGAAGATAGCCCCCGAAACTCAGATTCAGCAGGTCTGGGGTGTGGCCCTGAAATCTGCCGTGATTCTCACGCTGGTGTTCCCTGGGGTCCTGCTTGAGAGAGACAGCCCTGGAGTAAGGTGGCTGGGGTCAGAGGGTTTTTAGTGTCCTCCTCGACAGCATGCAGGGGACTTCCCTCCTCTGCCACAGAGTTGGCACATTCATCGACCCTAATGCTTCAACTACTCTTCGCAATGGGGCTAAAGTTCAGGGGACTGGCTATCGCCCCACACAGAACATAAAGGCGAGGTTTGTCACCGAGTCAAACATCACGTAGACCTTTTTCATCCCAGAGGGGTGCGATGTCCCTGTATGTTACGGTTCTAAGTGAGACTTGGTTCTGCTCATTTTACTAGAAGGAACATTGAGAGGCAGCAAATAACTTGTGACTCAAAAATTATTGGAGTCAGTTGGATACCAAAGACTAGAACCCGTGTTCTCCCAAACGGTGCTCCATTTGCTGGACCTCAGTGCTTCCTTGCCGCTCGGCCCAAGGCGGAGAGATTTCCTATGAATTCAGCGCGGTGAGTGCAGCAAGAAGGGAAGTGGGCTGTTGACTCGCTTCTCATTACCGGCCACAGAACACTTCCCTTTGCCCCCCCCACCCCTTAGCCTTGATGCTCGCAGTGCACCCGGGCTTGGGCTACCATCGCCTAAAAAATTAACGTCACTGCCAATGACTTCTCCGCTTCTCCCCGTCTTGAGTTGAGTCCCAAAGCAGCCTCCCGCTCTGGGTCTGCCCCTCGCCCTACTCCTCTTCTGTTCCCCTCTGTGTTGCTTACCTCTTCAGGATGATGTTTGGGGCTTTAGATGGTCTGTTCCATGTCTGGCTCTGTCCCTGGTGCCATTTGACACTAGCCATGAGGAGGATATTGGGAAGGGGCAGGCAGGGCACGGAGGAGGTCACCCCAACGGCCATGGTGTTGGAGGCTTTGTAGATGTCTATCCAGTTCCTGCCCTTTTTGACCTGCAAAGCAGTCCCGTGGCCACAGCCCTGAGCGTTTGGCAGAAGGAGCAGTGTATTTTAGCTGAGGGTTTCCCAACCCTGGCACTATGCACTTCGGGCTGGATAATTCTTTGTTTGGGGGAGAGGGGTCTCCTGTGCTCTGGGGATGTTTAGCAGCATCCTTGGCCTCTACCTACTAGAGGCCAGCAGCGATCCCTTCCCCACCCGAGTTGTGACCATCAAAAATATCTCCAGATGTTACCAAATGCCCCCTGGTGGGGGGGGGGGTGGGTGCAAAATCAATGTTTGCTGAAACCACTGTTTTAACCTATATTGGTTAAACGCCTATAAGAACCATAATCCCGGAGTTCCTGGACATGTGTGACATTTCTGTGACCCCTCCCCCACAGTTTCCTGGATTTTCTTAGACAGGTTTGTCTATAGGCCCTTTTTTGAGGGGCTCTATAATCTCCTTTCCCTGAACCGTAAGGTCCCGTGCAATCCCAAGGTCTGTTTATTCTGGGATCCAGCTGGCCTGAGGAGAACCCAGGCAAGGAAACAAAAATGCACCGAGTGCCCTCGTACTTAGGCCTTTGCTTCCTGTGTTTGCGTGTAATAACCAGGTTGGTCCAACCCCTTTTACAAGACAGGAAACTGGGATTCAGGGTGCGCCGGTCACTTGCTACAATGACACCTCCTGATGAGAGAGCAGATTCTGAGCCCTGGTCTCTCCGGGTGCCCAGCTGCTGTTCTTTCACCAGTCAGCATTTCTGTCACAAACCCTCAAAGGGCAGCTCATTTCACTGCCTCTTTGTTCTTGCCTTTGGGCTGACAGCCTGGAGGAGGAAGCAAATTGAGGGATTCGGATACCAGATCCTCTACTCAGAGCAGAGAACACCTGACCTCTGTCCCCACGATGACAAGCGTCTCCAGAAGAAGCCTTGTCTGGGGCTCTGCAACGTCAGGGTCAGATGCGTTCCAGGCCCACTGACTTCTCCTTACCTCCGTTCTCACTCCACGCCAGTCCCAGGGACAGACTCTCCCAGTCACACCTTGGGAACACGTCTAGAAGAATCAGGGAGTGCCATTCTGCACGACCCAAGAGTACCTGGACAAAGTTGCTTTCAAACACCACTGAGTCAGGAAATAGGTTGAATTCTGGAGAGTGAACCATCTGGCAGAGCAATCCCTCCTCCACACCCAGGCCCACTCCAGGGTTTGGCTCCCCATCCACAGGCAAGAGGCCCCTGACTTCTTCCCCGACACTCAGGGAGGGGAAGATTGGATAGGATCTCGTGACTTGTACTGTCTTCTTTGATTTCCACGGAGTCTTTCTCTGTGGAACTGATGACAACATTTCCGCACATGCTCAGGGGCCTACCGCAAGTTTGTCCTGGTAACTCTCTCTTCCCTCCTGGCCTTGGGCAGCTGGCCAAGGCCTGGGACCGCCAATCAGCTCACAATGATGAATGGATGACATCATGAAAAAACCAGGGCAGGCCTGCAGGAAAGGGAAACGCAGAGGAGCCTCCCTTTTCCTCCAGAGCGCTTTCGCGGCTTGTTTATGCCCTCACGCCCCCCAGCCCCTGTCGGAACCGGGGACATAGTGCCCCCAGGACTTGCTGAGCAAGTGGTGAGCCAGGTAGAAAGCAAGGAAGGAAGGAAGGCCGTTGGGAGGGCATTTTCCTCCCTGCCTGTCAACCCTCTCTTACTCCTAATGCAACCTGCCGCAATCAGTTTTAAGGGCCGGTGTCTATTTAAAACCCAGCCCTTCACCTGGGTGGCTCAGTCGGTTAAGCGTCCGACTTCGGCTCAGGTCATGATCTCACAGTTTGTGAGTTTGAGCCCCACGTTGGGCTCTGTGCTGACAGCTCGGAGCCTCGATGGAGCCTGCCTCATATTCTGTGCTCCCTCTCTCCCTGCTCATGCTTGCTCTCTCTCAAAAATAAACTTAAAAAAAAAAAGTTTTTAAAAAAGAAAAACAATTTGACAACCAATATATGTGACGTACAGGAAGAGCGATTTATTTTTGTATTCATTGTCAAGTCTGAGAGATGGCTGAAAGGTCATGAGGCTTTCCTGATCTGATTCCATCAGCCCCTCACCTGGTCACTTCTATTATGCACCTGTTCAAGCACCTGAAACAGCACCTAGGTTGGTAAAGCAACTTCCGTATTCACGTTCCTCATTTTCTTTTGCTTATCATGTGGGGAAATTGTCCTCCATGGAACATTCTGTAAGGATGGGGCCAAGAGACCCCATCCTGTGGTTTACATTTCCCTAGGAACAACACACAATACAAATGGGATGGCAATTAACACACCGATATAAGTTAAAGCTTACCCACAACAGTAAAGCTTATTGGCCTAGATACACGGCTTGGATATATTTGGCCATTGAGACATCCAAAAGTCCCCTTCAGCTGGGAAGATGACTTTTTCTCTTTTCTGTACAAGCCTGTTGAGTCCACTTCCGTGGTATGTGGAAGAGACTTTAGGACCCAGCCTAGAAAGCTAATTGTGAGAAAGTGAGCTTTCGGCTCTAAACAAAGTGCCAAGCAATGATAAAATGTCTTTAAGATGTCTACCCTTCCAGGGGCGCCAGGGTGGCTCAGTCGATTGAGCGTCTGACTCTTGGTTTTAGCTCAGGTGGTGATCTCACAGTTCGTGAGTTCGAGCCCCACATCAGGCTCCATGCTGGCAGTGTGGAGCCTGCTTGGGATTCTCTCTCCCCCCACCCCCCGCCCCTTCCACATGCACTCTCTCTCTCAAAATAGAGAAACGTTAAAAAAAAAAAAAAAAAGATGTCTACTTTTCCTATTTGCCCCTATTGAACCCTCCAAAGTAGCACACTGAAACTTTTTAAAATCCATTTGGAAGATGCTTAGTTGCCTTTCCCAGTACCCATTCTCTCCATTTCTTTATTAATGGAACACTTGATTTTTAGTTGGGCACATATCTGGAATAAAAATTACATTTCCTGGTCTCCTTTACAGCTAGGTAAGGCCATGTGATTATGTTCTGGTGACAGAGATGTGAGCCCAAGGTTCAACTGCTATGAGGAAACCTTGTAGGAAGGGGAGTGCTCTTTTCACTCCTTATGTTGTTACTCCTGGCTGGAATACAGACTTGATGGTTAGAGCTTGGCAGCCCCATTGGGCCATGAAGTGGCATTGTAAGGACGGTAGCACAGCAATATAAAAGGGCTCCAATTCCTTGATGATCATAAAACTGCCATACCAGTCCTGGACTGCGTACCTCCAGACTTCCTTATGGATGAGAGAAATAAATTTGGGTGTTCTGTCACATTGAGCTGGGCTTAAAACTTGCTGATACAACTATATAAAACTCCTATCTACTCTTCTGGACCAATTTTACAGGACATAATGGTACTCTTTACCACTAATTCTAAGCAATGAAGACGATAGGGTTAATTCGCAGGAAGTTAGGATCTTAGGAATGACAAACTTGTCGCTTCTAGGGAGGAACGTTGTATAAATATATATCCCAAGAACATGAGAAGCTCATGGCTCTTGTCTTCCTGTGTATGCAGGGGTGTCAATGCTGCCACAATTGCTGCTTTGGGCACCTTTGGTAATGAGCATTTTGGTGAGAGTCTTCTTGCCAATGTTGATAGTCCTTTGTCTTGAGGCTAAAACCACTTGGTCATGTCATGTATCATTTCAAAGCTTGCTCAGGAGTGACCAGGATATCTGGTGGTCATTTGGGGCTGGACCTGGGTTCTGTGGAGCTTAAAGATTATATAATTTTGGAGACACTTAAAAATAAAAATACTGGAGGGACAGGACAATAGGGAGTTACTGTTTAATGGGTACAGAATTTGGGAAGATGACAAAGTTCTGGAGACGGATGGTGGTGATGGCTGTACAAACAGTGGGGATGTACGTAATGCCACTGAACCCTACACCTAAAATGGTAAGTTTCATGTATATTTCCCACAGTAAAACATTTCTAAAACATAAAAGACAAAATAAAAAGTCCCCACAAAAGTATGACACAAACTGCTCAGAGCCCTCCTAGGGCCTCAGAAGTTTCCATGTGAACAAAGGGTCCTGAAGTGTAAGCTTTATTATCTTCATGGTAAATCTGTCCCGTTTAAATTTGTGTCACTATTTTAAAAAGAAAACTATTACATAAGCAGCACATGTGCTTGTAGAACATCAGAAAACAGAGACAAGTTTAAAAAACAAACAGCATTTTCTTACTTCCCAGAGAACATCACTGCAACAACCTTGGGTGTCTGTGTGCGTGCGTGTGTGTGTATGTGTGTGTGTGTGTGTGTGTGAGAGAGAGAGAGAGAGAGAGAGAGAGAGAGAGAGAGATTGTACTCTGAAAATGGTTTTATGACTTTTTTATAACCTGTATCATTTAGCCAACACTTTCTGCCTTTGTGTTTCACTATCCTTTTATCTCATCTCCTCTAATTTCTAGGCCATATTAAAACTCCTCCATTTAACTCCAATTATTCTTATGCCTGATTTATCAAAATCAGCATTGAATCCAGGACCACACATCCCCCTTAAGTTTAGTGTAATCTAGACATTCTCTTTTTTAGGACTCCTCCCAAACAATCGAGGCAGTTGTCCTACAGAAAATCCCACCTTCTTGATTTGTCTGGTTACTTCCTTGTGTTTAGTTTGCTTTTCTAGTTACTATCTTTTCTGTGAAATAGAGTTTACATCTAAAGGGCTGATGGATTCAGGTAAAACTGTTTTTTTTTTTATTAAAATAGTCACTATTTCTTAATGACAAGCTACCATGGGATCTATGTACGATATTAGTCTTCTTTCCCAAAGAATGTCCACAGGAAAATACATTGGAGGAATAGGTATCAGGAGAAAAACGATTCCAAGAAACAGAATAAAGCTTTTGACGAGAATCATTTCTGTACTCTCAAGGAACTGTATAGTCCCTATGAAACAAACAAACAAACAAACAAACAAACAAACAAAATCAGATGCCAAAATGAGATGAAGACAGGATTCGATGAGTTAAGGGGAAAACAGAAGAAAAACCCCCTCAGTGTCTGACAGTCACATTAGAAGCCACAAGAAATGGAGGGGACATGACAGCAAACCAAGTCAGTGACGTGGATAACAGGCCTGAGACTTTCACACAGAGCCCGATAAAGAAGGGCAAGCAACAAGGAAATGGAAAGAAAACGATAGTTATGTAAGACATTTATGTCGATCCAACATACAGCTAGATTCCCTGATGAAGAGGGAACGAATGGAACTGAAAAAGTAGTCAAAACCATAAAAGAAAAAGCCATTTCTGAAACAAACAAACAAACAAACAAAAAACAATTTGGCAAACAGATGGGATTTACTATATTCCAGGTAAACTGAACAAAGAAACCATTGAGACCAACATAGCCCTTGTGAAGTTCCTAAATTTAGGCAAAACAAAAGCCTCCTGCTACAAATATCTGCATAGAAGAAGCAGACATTCTACCAAGGGGAATAAAATGAGACTGGCTTTAGACTTCAGCCTCCTTAGATGCCATAAGGCAACGGAACGAAGTAAAAGGATGTTGAGGAGAAAGGATGGGACCCAAGAATTCCACAGATTTAAATCGAATGACATTCGTTCAAGTGTAAAGGAAGTCAAAATAATATTAAACTACTACGCATACCCGGGGTGCCTGGGTGGCGCAGTCGGTTGAGCGTCCGACTTCAACCAGGTCACGATCTCACAGTCCGTGAGTTCGAGCCCAGCGTGGGGCTGGGCGTCATGATCTGGGAGCCTGGAGCCTGTTTCATTCTGTGTCTCCCTCTCTGCCCCTCGCCCGTTTGTGCTTTCCTGTCTCTCTGTCCCAAAAATAAATAAACGTTGAAAAAAAAAAAAACAAAACAAAAAAAAACAAACTACTACGCACACCTGAATAAATAAATCCATAAGCTGGTTCTTTGAGAAAAAAAAAAATTAGACCACTAGCTAACGGTTTACTTTTTTAGAAAAGGAAGGCATAAAACATACAATTTGAATAAGAAAACACAAATAAGTACAAATAACTAGGAAGCACACAGGGTCCTGGATAAAGGTAATGGCACGAACCTGTATTACTTATAGTCCAGGCACTCAAAAGACCTCAAAATATAGTGACTTAAAATAGAATTTGATTTCCTCTTACACAGTAGTCCACAGACAGGCTGTCCTGAGCTGGTAGAGTATCTCTGCCATTCGCGATATATCACTCTCTGTCTCTGGGTTTCAAAGTGCCCGCTCCAGCTCCTGCCATCATGTTTGCATACTGGCCAGTGAGAAGGGGAAAGGGGAAGGGGAGGGCACACTCATTCCTTTTAAGGGCATGACCCGGAAAGGGCATAATCACTTT